GGGCCACGGCCATACAAGGGAAAACTCTATGGTTTTCCCTTGTATGGTCGTGGCCCCACCCCCAGCGTGCCCAGCGTCATGACGTCACTTCCCTGTGATGTGCATGCGGCGCACCGGGATCCGTACGGGAGTCCCCCACCAGCAAGGTAAGTGCCACTTGGCAACCCTACTCTGGATTAAAAAGAAAGGTGAATTCGGTTTTAGTGCAGAATTGCTTGGAGGACACCGCAGTGAGTATGGATTAAAAGGAGAGTGCAGAAAGGGCCACAGTTGCTTGTTTAAACTGAGGTAGGCCACTTTGTGTGCCACGTAGCTGCTTAGCACAGATAACAGATGACCTTCGACAAAGACACCCTCATGGCTACATTTCTGGGATTTGGCATGGGGTATATGTCTCTGCCCTGTGCAGAGAGAGGAAATCAGAGAGCTGTGCTCGTCAGGGTAGTTATTATTAATTTTTTAATTAAAGTATTTATATCCCACCTTTCCTCGTGGCTCTAAGTGGCTTACAAATCTTAATTAAAAACAGTACAATTTAAAAGCAATAAACCAGTAACTCTTCTCCTTAGGTGGTGACAGCTATGGAGAAAGACTTGCAGGGATTCTATAATTTCCTCTGGTCTAATTACTCACTATTAATTAACTGGTGTGTTAGACTGTAGAATCACAAGGAGTCCTCCTGCCGAGGTGCCAGGAAATTATAAAGGGAAGAGTTGTGTTGTTTGTCTTGGTTGTAACGGAGGTGTTTTATTATGGAATGTGTTAACTGAAGGGTGCACAAACAGAGTGTGTGACAGTAGGATTTGCGTATGGGTGGCATGACTCAGTTTTATTTATTTATTTATTTATCAAATTTATATCCTGCTCCCTCTCCCCTGAACGGGACTTGGGGCAGCTAACAGCATATAAAATAAAAAGGTAAAGTAAAGGTTCCCTTGCTTGAAAGCCAGTCGAATCCGACTCTAGGGTTGCGGTGCTCATCTCCATTTCAAAGCCGAAGAGCCAGCGCTGTCTGAAGACGTTTCCGTGGTCATGTGGCCGGCATGACTAAACATCAAGGCGCATGGAACGCTGTTACCTTCCCACTGAAGTGGTATTTATTTATCTACTTGCAATTTCTTGCTTTCGAACTGCTAGATTGGCAGGAGTTGGAACTAGAGACGGGAGCTCACTGCGTCATGCGGCACACTCGGGTCTCGAACTGCTGAACACACAGCCTGTAGTTCAGCCTGTAGTTCAGCCTGTAGTTCAGCCTGTAGTTCAGCGTCTTAACCACTTGAGCCACCACAGCTCCAGCATATAAAATACCCCCCCCCCAATATGAAGATATAATAAATTATCTTTAAAATATAAAATGGTAAAAAATCTATCCCCATTAAAATCTATCCACTATCAAGCAGAGTAGGATGTGTGGATGGTGAAGACACAGCTGAAGTATACCAGCTGCCTGGTGGATCAGAATCACCCAAAGGCCGCCTGAAAAAGAGCAGCCTTGAATGCCCTGCGGAACCTAGGGAGGTCCTGCAAGGCATGCAGCTTTTCGGGCAGTTGGTTCCACAGGACAAGGGCCACTACTGAGAAGGCCCTCACCCTTGTTGACACAAGGCAGGCAGCTCCTGGACCAGGAACCTTCAATAAATGCAGAGATGAAGATTGGAGAAGACAGGGAGCATCAGGCCAGGTGTCAGGATCCACAGCCAAACAACGGAGCACACACTTCTGAGAAAGGTTTTGCTTTATTGTTAGTACTATGGTTGCAATAACATGGTCACTGTTATGAATGACGAGCGAGGAACAAGCATACAATGATATAGAAGATTCAAGAGGTATCCCCCCCCCAACTGTGGGCCAATCGCCCCATTTCCCGCGGGCGGGATAGGGCCCCGGGGGGAACTCCTCCCCGACGTGCGCGTCACCCGGAAGTGACAGGAGGATGCTGGGTGCGCTGGGGGCGGGGCCACGGCCATACAAGGGAAAACGCTATGGTTTTCCCTTGTATGGCCGTGGCCCCGCCCCCAACATGCCCGGCGTCCTCCCGTCACTTCCGGGTGACATGCGCATGCACACACCAGACGCCGGCCAGGAGCCCCCTGCTCCCGGCGAAGATCAACTTGGCAACCCTACAATGACCCAACCGATCAAAGACTGAGAAACGAAACTAGTCTCACGGTTAATTAAAGTGGAGACACTACACAGGCATGAATACAAGGTCAGAGATAACAAGGGGAGAAGCGAGAGGGAAGGAATGTGGCACCAACTTGTACACAGGTCAGGCAGGCGAACTCTAGGCTAATCAACAATATGGCAGCATACCTGACACCAGGAGAGGCAGTCCTGAAGGCATGAGGGCCCTAGGCTATTTAGGGCTTTAAAGGTAAGTACCAACACTTTGAATTGGCACTGGAAACTAATTGGGAGGCAATGCAGCTGCTGTAGGATGGGTGTTATATGCGGTGACCAGGACACCCCTGCCAGCAGTCTGGCAGCTGCATTCTGGATGCTTCCAAAGCATCTTCAACGGTAGCCCTGCATAGAGCACGTTACAGTAGTCGAGTCTTGAGGTGACTGCTGAGTGAATTACTGTGGCAAGGTCCACCTGAGACAGATAGGGAGCCAGTTGGCGGGCCTGGCGTAGATGGCAAAATGCAGCCTCTGTCAGCGAGGACACATATTTGTCCATAGAGAGCAAAGAATCGAGCCATACTCCCAAATTCCTGACCAAGTCAACTGCAGAAAGACAGGCCCCATCAAGGGTTGGTAGATGTGGCCATCCCAGTGATCGGGGCTTCCCCAGCCACATGATCCTCTGTCTTTAACATGTTCTCTTTTGTCTGCAGATTCACTTATGATCATGATACCTAATATTCATTGTGACAGTTACTTGAGATATTGAAGGGCAGAGTTAAGGAGCATTATAGGTGCTGATCAAGAAGATCACGTTGGTTGTTGAGAGAAGTGTGTGCGCATCAAGTGCCATCAAGTCACAGCCGACTTATGGCGACCCCGGCAAGGGTCTTTCAAGATAAGTGAGAAGCAGAGCTGGTGAGCCACAGCCTTCCTCTACGGAGTTTTCCATGGTGGTCTCCCATCCAAATACCAGCCCTGCTTAGCTTCTGAGTTCTGATGAGATGGAGCCAGGGCTCTTTTTGTAGAAAAAGCCCAGCAGGAACTCATTAGCATAATAGGCAACACCCAACAGCAGGAACTCATTAGCATATTGGGCCACACCCCTGACAGCACAGCTTATTAGCACATTAGGCCGCATCCATATGTTACTAGAAGTGTGGTTATCCAGCCACACCCACCTTTTGCTTGTTATTCTGTTTCCCTTGTTTGTTGTCAAAACCCAGGGCCTTTTTTTGTAGCAGGAACTCCTTTGCATGTTAGGCCACACACCCCTAATGTAGCCAATCCTAATGAGTTTCTGCTGTTGGGTGTGGCCTATTATGCTA